TTCAATTATTTGCTTTTTTCGTTGCCAATATTGATAAAAGATATAATAAATAATAATATGAAATACTCAATTAAATAATGTGAAGATAATATATAAGAATACAGAGATATAGAAGTATATTGTAAACAATAATTTAAAGAGAATGAATGAAATAATATCTTCTGAGCAAAGTGAAATAGAAAAAATCAATATCTACTGAAACTTAATTAAGTACTTTTTCTTTGGAATATTCATTCTTTTCATTAAAAATATAATACTTAATATATTTATGTATATGATTTAATTCATTATTATATCATAGTCTGAATCATTAATTTCATATTTTATATTCTACATTTTATGGCAATATATATTAGTTTTATAAATAAATAATAATTATCAGTCCAACATCATTACTTATTCATATTTTATTATTATATTCATTTCTTTCCATTTTATTTTATTTTTAATTCTGATTTTACTATTTTAGTTGAGTCTAATATCACGTAAACCATTTATTAATGACTATGTTGATAAATTTTAAATGAGATTTTCTTATCTATTATTTACATATTCTTAAAATTATATTCATTCAAGATTGTATAAATTTACTATTTTGATTCTTTTTTCACGAATTTTCTGTATGTTTTGTGTTGTTTATGTCTTTTTTGTATCTTATTATAACATTTATTTCTTTTCTTTATCAAAATTATTTTTTACATATTACTATGATATAACTGATTATTAAAATGACAAACAAAACTAGTAGCGCCGGTACATTGGTATTCTTATGATGGTTATAATAATTATTATTAAGTCAATAACTTGTATGATATAGGCTTTGACATTCTAGTTTAAGGATACTAATTCTTATTCATTGCTCCGCCACTTAACTTGGTTATTGGTTTATGTCTCACCTTCTTGTACTATAATATCTTTTATATTTTTAACCTTAAGTAATTTATAATATTTATTTCAAGCACTTTAATGTCAAAGAAAAAAAAAACAAAAAAAGAAATAAATAAAAGAATAGATCCATACAATTACGGGTAATAAAGAGAGTCATATTATTCCAATACACGTCTAGATGAATTAAGGAGATTTATAATAATTTTATTTAATAATTTTTTATTAGGTTAATATTTTATTCATGTACAAATTGTTTTAGAATCAGTATCTATTTTATCTAACAATTTAACCTTAATCTTTATGTTATGAGTGCAAACATTTTGTTGAACAAAAAATGTTACTCCTTTATATACATAAGTACAACCATTTGTCAACATGAAATCTAAAAGTATTTGGTTCATAAAAGTATCTTCCAGTGCAAGTATCATATTCCTTCCTTCAAATTTTGATAACATTGTCAATGTATAAATCAAATCATCTCCATTTATTTCAAAAGATAAATCATGTTTAAAAACAATTAATTGAACACACACCTCAGGTTGTTCCATTACAAAAGAATCGATGTCGCTATTACTTGCATCTAAAAAAGTAACATTATCAAACTGAATACATTCCGTAGATACTGATAAAGTACTTGAAGAAATAAATATTTTATTACTGTTTCTCTGTGAAAAACATGGAGATGAAATTCCAAATAATTTACATTTATCTTGGGTAGTACTAATAGTAATTTCAATGTCAAATGGTTTTAGTCCAAATAATGAAGACCCTTCACCTTTACCATAATATTTGAATTTATATTTATCAACTTGTTGAAGTGTAAATGACGTTTTGGTTTGTTTAAAATTATTGAATCGTGTTAATTCAATAACTACTTTACCATTAACAAGTTGACTTCGTTTTAATTCTGCAGAATATTCTTCTTTGTTATTTTGTTTATTAAAGGAGAAGCTAAATCCTTCAGGTAATGTATCATTTATTTCTTTTTCAAAAGCGTCAATAATAAAATCAAAAGAAGATCCAAGAAATCCATATCCATCTATTCTTGATAAATTACAAACTTCTTCTTTAATAGATTCTTTTTCTAATTTATTTACTATTGTTTCATTTACAATAAATTCATTTGTAATTAACCTTTTTTCTTTAATATATTTTCTTAATACTTCTTTATCACAAATAACAGTAAACTCAATATGTCTTCCAACGAGTTTAAAATTATTTTCATTAAATTTTGTTAATTCATTTGAAACACTAAATAACAAATAAATCATAGAACGAAGTTCTTTTTGTTTTTCAATAGGAACATTTTTATCAATAGGTTTAGGAGAATAAGAACTAATTAAACCAACAATAAAATTTCTAGTTATTTCAAGAAATGATAATTGTTTTAATAAAAACCTAACTCTTTCAAATGACTTTCTTCCTTGATTATAATATTCACTTCTTTCTAATACTTCTTTACCTTGTACAACATTCAGAACTTTTTGTAAATTTGATTTATCTTTAGCAATTATTTCTTTAAATTGTTTTACAAATGATCTAAAAGTACTTGCCACTAATAAATTAGTATTCAGAATAATTTGATCTTTTTCTTCTAATGTTTTAATATGACCAATATTTTCATTAATTCTAGTAATTTCTTTAAATGATTCATTAAACAAATCAATTTCAAAATTGAAATGTTTTACTTCTAAAGACTTAGATAAATTATTTAAAGATATTAAAAACTGATCAACGTTTCTTTTATTTGACATTTAAATAAATATCTTTAAATGAATTTAACTAGTTCAAATAAAATTAAACTCATTTAATAAATATGATGATTTTTTCAAAAAAAAAAAAAATTTGAATTTTCATTAATTTTTTTGCTTATTGCTTGTCAGCTTCAAGTTGTTTTAAATGTTTAATGAATTCATTAAATTCTACTTTTCCTTCAACTTTATTTTCTCTAGTTCTAACATTGACTGAATTTGAAACTAATTCTTCTTCTCCAATAACTAAGATAAAGTTATATTGTGCAACTTGAGCATTTCTAATTTTCTTTGGTAATTTATTATCACTGTCATCAAGGTCTGCATAAAATCCTGCGTCATTTAATTCTTTAGTAACTTTAGCTCCATATTCATTATACTTCTCTGAAACTGTACATACCATAACTTGTCTTGGTGATAACCAGAATGGCCATTTACCTGCGAGATGTTCTGTTAAAATAGCAGTAAATCTTTCAATTGATCCTAAAACTGCTCTATGAACCATAACTGGTGTTTTTAATGGTTGATTTGGATCTTCACTCATATAATCTAATTTAAATCTTAATGGTAATTGGAAATCTAATTGAACAGTTGCAACTTGATGTTTTCTTCCAAGGGCATCTTCAATTCTAATATCAATCTTTGGTCCATAAAATGCTCCATCTCCTGCATTAATAACAAATGGTAAATGAGAATCATTAAGTACTTGAGTTAACATTGCTTCTGCTTTATTCCATGTTTCAATTTCTCCCATAAACTTCTTTTCATTTCTTGTACTTAAAGCAATTTCAGTCTTAAATCCAAATATTTTATATATTTTTTTCATTAAATTCAAAACTCCAGTAACTTCTGACTCAATTTGATCCATTGTACAGAAAATATGTGAATCATCTTGAACAAATCTTCTTACTCTTGTAAGTCCATGAAGTGCTCCTGTTAATTCATTTCTATGTAATACACCAAATTCTGCATATCTTAATGGAAGTTCTCTATAGGATCTCTTTTTACTAGCAAACATAACACAATGGCCTGGACAATTCATTGGTTTAAGAGCAAAAGTTTGTTTTTCACATTCAAAAGAGAACATATCATCTTTATAATGTTGCCAATGTCCAGAAGTTTCCCATAAGGTAGAAAGGAAAATATTTGGAGTAATAACTTCTTGATATCCAAGAACTCTATACTCAGCTCTCATTAAAGCAACTAACTTATTATAAATTCTTGTTCCATGTGGTAACCAGAAACAACTTCCTGGTGAAAGAACATGGAAGAAGAAAAGATCTTGTTGTCTTCCAATTAATCTATGATCTCGTTTATCTGCTTCTTCTGCTCTTTTAATATATTCTTTTAATAAATCTTTTGTTGGGAATGAAACAGCATGAATTCTTTGTAATAAATCTCCAGTAGCAGTTCCATCCAAATGAACTGATCCTGAAGATAAGATTTTAATAGCTTTAATACTAGCAGCATTAGCTAAATGTGGTCCTCTACAAAGATCAACAAAAGAACCATTTTTGTAAGCAGTAATAGTAGATCCTTCTGGTAATTTTTCAATAATTTTAACTTTATATGGATTATAAGCAAACATTTTTAAAGCTTCTTCTTTAGTAATTTCAATTCTAGTAAAGACTTGATGTTCTCTAACATACCCTTCAATAAGACTTTGTAACTTTTTAAAATCAGCTGCAGAAATAGCTCCATTCATTTTACAGTCATAGAAGAAATCAATAGCAGTTGCTGGTCCGGTGTGAAGATAACACTTGTATTGTGTTTCCATAGCTTCTCCAAGAAGATGGGCAGATGAATGCCAAAAAACGTCATGAGCTTCTTGATTATCAAAACCAAGATATTCAACAGTGGAGTCTTCTTCAAATGGTCTAATAAGATCCCATAATTTACCATTAACTTTAGCAACAAAAACTGGATTTTCTTTTGTAATTTCTCCTTTTTCAACAAGATCTTTAATAAACTCTTGTGGTGAAGTGACAAATGACTTACCTTGGAAGGTCATATCCTTATATTTGATTGTAATTTCTTTAGACTTCTTTAATTCTTCTTCTTTATATTTTTTCTCAAGTTCATTAAAATAATTTAATCTTCCTTCTAATGCAGCACTACAATCAATAATTGGTTCTTGTTGTTCAGCCATCTTTTGTTTCTGTTTCTTTTAAGTTTCTTTTAAGTTTCTATCAACTTTCCTTCCTTCCTTTAACCCTTTTTTTATTTCTTCATTCAATACTTAATTTCCCGATTTTTTCCAATTTATCTCAATTTTTCTTTTCTTTTTTTTTTTTTCATTCTTTGGAAGAAAGAAGAAAACTCTTTTTTTTGTTTAATTTTTTTCTTTTAACTTTTTATTTTTTTTTTCTTATAGTTAAATAAATAAAATCTTTCTTAGAATTAATACTTTTTTATGTAAGTATTATTTTTCATAAGAAAAAATAAATTATAATAAACCATAAAAAATAAATAAAAAGTGAAAGAATTTAAAATGAGAGTAAAATTACAATTGAACAATGAAACTTATTGAGCATCTGAACCAAAATAATATTGAACATAGACGTCTGAACCTTCATTAAAAGTTCCACGACCACACCCATTTTTAAGGTATGAATACTCTACATAACGAACAGAAATTGTATGGTCTTTTAATAAAGATAAATGAATCTTTCTTGTTTCTTGAGGAACACGAACTGCGTCTAATAACGATAAAACAACGTCATCTGTAGGGTCAGCAATCATAGCAGAAAATCTAACGAATCCTTGATTACAAAGAGTCACACCAAAGACAAAGTAAGTATAATACTGATTCAATCCTTTAAAAATATTTAGTATAGGATTTGGAATTGGTGGAAATCCAAATTTTTGAGTAGCACGAAGTAGTTTATTAACTCTGGATGACATTTCTCCTTCAATTAAAAAATGAAAAGTTGATTGAACAGGAGGATTTTCGTTGACTTCTCTTCCAAACTGACAAAATTCAGTAATATGAGATTCAGCTAACCATTCAAATAATCTATCAGTAAAACTCCCATCTTCTGATAATTGTCTAATTAATGAAATATCAAATTTTCCTGCAAAAAACCAATTTTCACTCATTCCAAAATTTTTAGTAATTTCAATCATAGAACCAATAATTTGAGGTCTAACAAGGCTCCCAAATTCATCTATACGTTCAATTTCTTCTTGTTGTACTCCAACACCAATAAAAAAGTTTGCCATTGGATTAATCATTGGTCTTTGGTTTCCAAATGCTCTCCATTTTAAATGATCAGCCTTTGAAGAAACAGAAATTGTATAATGAACTGCTTCACCTTTTAATAATGGTTGTTTAGAAGTTTTTGTCGGAAGGTTATCTGTCCAATATTTCCAATATTTAGTTAAATTGTCATCAGAATCTACCCAACTAAAATAATTTTTTACATGTTCCAAATTTTTTCTTCCATCACTTGTTATATAATTAGCCATATTTGCATCAATATTTAAAAGAGCACCTGGTTGAAGAGAAGGAGTTTGAATCATTGAAGATGGAACAATGCTTGTTGGAATAATACGAGAAACAGGAACTTTTTGTTCATGAGTTTGAGCCTTTATATGTTCAAAGAAGTTTTTAAAGTCAGTTTCATTATCGCAAATAATAACAAAAAGTCTATAACCCCTAAAAAGATGAGTTAAATTTTTTTAGTGTCAAGAAGAGAATTTTTAGAGTTATTACCATCTATAAATTCGAAGATATGATAGAATCTTATCATTTTAAGATCTTCTGAAGAAATCATATAAATTATTACTCAAAAGTAATGAAGAAGAAAATCATTAAAAACAAACTTTGGTCCTTTTGAATTGATTGTCATAGCAAATGGTTTATGTTTAGCAATTTTGGCTCCTGAAACATCATTAACTTCTGTTCCTACTGGAACATCAATATACCCCTTTGCTGCTTTGTCTTTACATGATGAAAAGTACCATATTCTTCTATCTTTTAATACAAAATATCTTTTTTTCCATGTCCTTATAGACCCACCAACTTTTTCTCCCCAACACTGAAATTCACTGGGTTGGAGCTGAGCTACACAAACCTATTTTGTTAACTTACACTAAATTCTTCTTTAACAAACTTCCCATCTAAAAGAACTACAGCAACAAACATTTAACTCATTCATTATTGGCATGAATATTTTAAGATAATTTTTCTTTTCATTTCAATAAATTTATTGCAACCAAAAGAATTTTTGTGTAAATCCATATTTAAAACATACTTAAAAACAAAGAACTCTCTTTTTTCCTAAATTTTCGACCAATTTTGATTTTTCGTCAAATATAAACATCAAAATAAAAGAAAAAGTTAATTGACAAAAAATTATAATTTATGTTATTCTTATTTCCTTTTTCAATCGTTGTAGATTTTCAACATCTATACTTTACCTTCTTTGATTAAATTCATATAAAACTCCTTTTATCTTTATCTTTATATATCATAGAACCATTTTCTTTTCGATTTAAACGCTAAAGTTGCCTTACAAAAGAAATGTCTCAAGTCTTCTTTCAATAAAGTCACTTGTAAGTCTAACTTCTTTAGCAAAATATCTAAACAATGAGCTAAATATGGCTTCATAATTTGTTTGTAGTTCGGATTCTTTTGTTATTACAAAAGTAGTCAATAGATTTATTTAGAATATTGTCTTGAGTCATTAAGACAAAAACATCTTTTAATTATTTAACCAATATTGGATAATCACTTTTGTATAAATCATTTTCCATTTTAAGTATCATTTAAATTGTTTAGTCTTTCAATAACATCAGACGTATCTAAAGTCTTCTTTTTTTTAATTTAGATTCTTTTAGATTTCTTAAAATCTACTAACACCTACAATAAACACGAATATTTCAAGTATCATTAATGAATTAATTGTCAATATATTAACTGGTTTATTGATATTTCTAAAGTCTTAATTTAATTTTATTGTATTCTAATAAAATACAATACCTTATAAACTCTTCTTTTA